GTCACAGGGGTTGTCCATTTTGCACCAGTGTCTGACAGCTAGTCACAGGGATTGTCCATTTTGTGCCAGTGTCTGACAGCTAGTCACAGGGATTGTCCATTTTGTGCCAGTGTCTGACAGCTAGTCACAGGGGTTGTCCATTTTGTACCAGTGTCTGACAGCTAGTCACAGGGATTGTCCATTTTGTACCAGTGTCTGACAGCTAGTCACAGGGATTGTCCATTTTGTACCAATGTCTCAATTTTGTCGATGATATTTTATTTCCAGTTCTGAAGGAGGCAGCGAGCATCATCAACAGCTACCTCTACAATGATATGGTAAGTAGGAGTATTTCTGAAGCATCATTTCACAGAATCATATCATCATTGGTGGACTGAAAATTGGGTAAAGTTCCGCGCTGTTCTTTCCAGCTTATTTCATGTTTGTAAACATTTACAGTCATGCTCGTAACAAATTCATAATAAAAGATGTTCAGTTTGGTTTCATAAATACTTGATTAATTTACTAGATATCAGAAGTAGGTACAACAAGCAGGTATAACAGTGTAGCAAAACTTGTAAATATCTGGTAGTAGAACAGAAGGACTCATATCTTCCGTGCTAACAAACATAACATGAGTCGGAATGAACTCAAGAAACTAGGATTATTATGTTAAGTGTGGCTGTTCAAGCTCACATTAGCGTTTGTAAACGGTACCTTTAAAAAAAACCAAGATTGGTCACTTTTGTTTATCCCCTTGCAGGAGCCTGCCGTATCCTCCCTGATTACTACGCAGGCAGATACCTCCAAGACAACCAGCCTGAGGAAGGAAGAGAGGGAAGACAAGCAGACGATAGAAGCAGAATCTACTGTTGAGATGACAGCAGTCACCGACCCAGATGTCCGAGAACTAAGAGAAAATTACGAGAATTTGTAAGCAACCCTGTCATTGGTCTTGAAACTGAGATGAAATTTGATGACCAAGTGAACTGATGAACAAATGGTCCAAGAAGACCTCAAACAGTTTTGCAGACATCAAAGGAAAAAATTATGTCTTACATGTCGGATACAGTAGCGACATAGTTTCACCACGTTGGGTGTACTGACAGGATTGCCTTGTAACACATACATTTTATTTCAGAAATCTTATTTTGCACCGGATGTATCTTTTCTCATCACTTTTTCTCACAGGAAATTCAGTCTTGACCAACAGAAGAAAGATTATGAAGATAAGCTAAAGTAAGTGCAAAACCAAAAACTCATTTTCCACGTACAATATTTGTACACTCTAAAAATCTTCCTATTCCTAGCAAACGAAATAATCTACTAGCCAGATGGGTTTATTTAAAGTGAATCCCTTTCCTTTCGAGAACTCAAAAACGGGTTATTCTGTTCTCATATACTACCTAACCTTAATAAAAATAAATATTCAACTTGGGGAACTGTAAGAAGAATTTTTTGGGGGTGTTTCTGTTTTTGTTTTTTAAAATAATGTTCTTTTTTGCCAAACTCCAAAGCAACAATGCTGTGATGATGATGGAGTTACAGGACACCATTCAAGAGCTTCAGCATGAATTGTCCGCCTTTGGGGGATCCCCTTCCAAACCTTTCTCGGCAGTGTCCGGCATGTCAGCCCGCTTTGACCCAAACACAGAACCCACGATCATCTTCTCCAGAACAGACTCTGAGCGCAACCAGAAAGCCCTCAAGAGAGCTGTCAATGCACGCAAGGTGAGAGAGTACACCAAGATGAGGCCTAGGGAGTCCTTTCACCTTGCATAGGTGCCCCTCGTTGGTGACAAATGAAAAGGTTGGAGTGACAGTCTAATGTCATTGTCCATCTCTGTGTGGACCAAAGAACAAACAGGTCCACCCAATGCAGGCTGTGTAAACCCTGTGCAGACTAAGCCAGGGCCGTTTTCTAATACTCAACTTCCGCTCCCTCTTAGGCTCCACTGTTTATTTCCTAGCTAACTTTGAAGCTGCAAACACAGTAATAAGTCTAATAGTGCCACAGAACATCAAACAAGATCCAAGAAAGCCAAGAGTTGCAGCAATCCAATGTAATTTAAACGCTTCAGGCCCACAATCGGGGATTGGTTTTGGGAACGAAGCATGAGACGGAGACGAAGTTGAGTATTGGAAAACAGCCCAGGTCTTCACAAAGTTTCTTCCTAGTGAAGAGTTGTAGAGGCATTTTGGCTCAGGGTTAGGGTTATCCTTAGCAAAAGGAAGAGTAAAGTCAAGGAAACTTCAATAAACGTCCAGGATGGATAAAATTTAAGCTCTCATGTCCTTTGATCCAAATGGTCATTTGAGGTAATGTTTGAGTTTGTAAGATATCTGACTTTGTAGAAATTTATAATTCAAGATTGCATGCGCTCAAGCAAACTGCTAGTCCACCCCAGGTTACAACAGAAGCAAATACCTCACCAGACTTTTTCCCTGAATCAATCACCACTCAAAACATTCCTTTTTTGCCTCATGCTCAAGGTTTTGGCAACTGAATTCAGAAATTGCTAAAAATTGGTTTTTAAAAACCTAATCTTTCAAAGGGTTGTATTTCTATTATTTCTTTGTAGTTGGAGCCACAGCGATACATGGAAGTGGTGCAAACCATGGATCAGTATACAGTCCTACCAGCAAAACGCTTTGTCCATCTGGCAAAAAAATACACTCACCACATGCACATGAAGCAGATTGAAGGTAAAGAAGGTCTCTCTGACGTGTACGCGAGTCAAGTTCCTACAATTGTGTGAAACTTCATTAGTTTTACAAAGTTTGAGAACTTGTATTGCAGAATACTTGTCCGTTCTTGTCAGTTCTTATCAGTTCTTATCAGTTCTTATCAGTTCTTGTCTCAACTTGGCAACTTCTCACTCATTCTATCCAGATCTCTTTAAGTTTGACTTTCTGAATTTTTATTTTGTTCTTCTGTCCCCAGAGAACGTGAGGCAGAGCAACTCCTTAGATGAGGAAGTCTACGCATTATTGGAGAGAATGGAAGCACTACAGAGCCTGGTGAGAGAATATTGAATATTATAAATCATTTTCACTTGGATTTTTTCTCTGTGAACAAATGTCACAGTTCATTAAATTGTAAGCTGTTGCTAGTACAAGATACAAAGGTTTTCCCTAAACCTAATGAGTGTTTCTTCTCTGGATTTGTAGAGGGCACAGCGTTGGGGCGATCAGATGGACAATCTTGCCTCAGAACGTCTACACCTGGCTCAAATGTTGATGGAAGCGTTGCGGAAAGTGGAGGAGGAATCCGGCATCTTTATGATCAAGCCGATACTGTCCTGGAAAGGAAGGTGAGAGAGAAGACCGGAAACTCCAGCTTGATGGTGGAGCCTCCCTTATTATATTATTCCAAGTGTTTGGGGAATGGTGCGGTGGTTGGGTTTGTCCTGACCCTCTGCTGCCTTCTGTAGTGATGTCCATGGTTCGAATCCCTCCCGGTTGCATATTGTTGACTAGTTACCAGTTCCTTCTTCGTTACTTGGGATTCTGCCCAGCTGGACTGACCAAGTTTTACATTTTTTATTTTAAATGATGAACGTAAATTGCTTTACAACTGATTTTGTGCTACTAGCCTCTGTCTGTTTAAGCAGTAAGCACAGTATGAATTTTTAATGCAAAGAAACCATTGGCATATCTTTATTGTGAAACAGTACTCAGCACTAGCATCTTTTTCAACAATCCTGAACTCAACTTTTGTGCTGACTGTTTAGCAGCTCTAAGAAACCGATTTCATGAGCGACACCCTATGGGCTATTATTATGATGCTACCATGTTTGTCTTGTTCCCTGTCAACCCAATGGCAGTAGCATTAAGATTTCACTTAATGATAAAAGGGAACAAACTATTCCCTGCCAGCCACAGTTTGGTTACATTGCTTTGAATGGTAGAAAAGCAAGATGGCTGCCCCATGATAGAGATCTGTTGTCAAATTTCTATATTCATCATCATTGGATTTTCTTCCTGTGCACACTGTGACCTTCAGAAACCAGATTCCACACTACCAGCAGAGCCGGATCAGCGAAAACTACCGGCCCAAGCCCTTCCTGAAACCCATCACCCCGTTACGTGACGGTACCCCACTCAACATGGTCCCAGCACCTACCCCTGCCTCCCAGCACCCTGTCAAGAGTGCCCTCATGAGGCCTTCCACACAGGTAAGGATCATGCTGCTTAACTGCTGGCCAAGGTCACACATCAGTGTGCCATCTCTCACTTTGTGGTGACACAAATATTTCAGGCCCAACGCCTTGGAACACAGAACCCTCCCATGTCAGATCTCTGCACACTGTTTCATTTTTCCAAAAGAAGTTTAAAAGCACATCTATTTATAATATAATTTTAGTTACCTTCCATTGTCAGTGGTCATTTCTTAGCGTCATGATCTGAATGGAGTGACATTACAGAAATCCTGTGTAATTTATTGACGCCCACATAGTGCTACCTATCCTTTATAAGACAGAAACATCAATGCTTTTATATTTCACCGTTGCGCTGGCACTTTTCATGTGCACAGATACAAGAACAGAAAAGCAACGAAGGTCCAACAGTTGAGTTGTAATTACAGTGTCATGTCTGACATTGTCCATTATCAAGATAATCATGTGCCAATCTGTTCCATAATGTTGATATTTTTGTGAGACAAAGAAATGACTGTATTGAAGTGTGGTCGGTCTTTAGCCATTGTGCTCTCAAAATACACTTTCACTCTGTCGGACATATAATAAAATTGATCAAATGTGACCTGGTCCTAAAAGAGTCTTAATGTCAATTTTTTTCTCGTAACTCTGCTTGAGTTTTCTATTAGACGAAGCAAACTGAGCAAATGATGTATCACTGAGTTTAACAGATTGATGAAAATGGGTATTATGTGAGTGAGGGTTCCTATTAATTTACATGGTGTAAGATTCTTTGAAAGGCCTTCTGCACAAAAGTGACTGTTGCGGCGTATGACTCATTTTGTTGGACTACGTATCAACTGGTTTACATAACTCTTACAGCCACATGTACAACTACGCTTATCAAATGCGAGTCCTTCTGAATCAGTTTTGTCAACACCCCCTACAGGATGCAACTGCTACTGATGGGCAGACTGCCCCAGACCAAGCCAACGAGGTCCCCATCAAAGGATCTAGTGTTCACCTGGTGGGTCCCCAGTCCCAGCCCATGTGGGCCATGTCCACCTCCTTCGCCCCACCCAGCGGTGCTGGCGACCCTGCCAAGGACCAGTTCTCCATGGTTACTACACCGCGGATCTTGGAGCTGGACGTGAACCGCATGCTGATTGGTCAGAATACCGTTAGGTGGGTCGGACTTTACAAAGAAAGAAAAGATTGAGGTGATTACAATGCCCGCTAGCCACACCCATACAGTGCCAGAATTCATCTGAGCTCAATGAGTACCTCTGGAACATTATTCTCAAGGTTTTTGTGATTTTTTCAAAGTTCTAACCTCCAAGTTCAGTGGTTTACCTCCAAGTTCAGCGTTATAGTCAAGTCCATTCTCAAGTCCTTTCACAAGATCAGTCAGAAGAAATAGGGTGAGCAGTGACAGAGGAATGCGTTAATTTTTGTCAGAGTTTATTTGAATAGCTTGTTGACTTGACTGGATGGCTCGTGACAGACTTGTGATTGCATATCAGGGAATTTCAATGGACTTGACTACGACACTAGTTTAATAAAATTTGGTAATTCTTTGCAGCACACTAAATATTCGATATTGTCAGATATCAAAATCTATTATTGTCACAAACTTCCTGACTGCACAAAGGACTGTCAGCCTGCAGGTCATTTCCCGGACTGACAATTTATCCTTGCATTATGGAATGATAAGATGCTGTTAGTTGTCTTGCTTACTGCCATATTATTTCTGCCATTCCCTTCCATTTTCACCCCACACTCTGCAAGAACTAAGATTTACAGGTGAATATTGATTAATTTGGGTGTTGTTATCTCTCTCTTTCTCAGCGCACTGACCAAGCCATTTCCACCCAGCAATGACCGCTTAGTGAACGCATCCAATGCTAGCGTACGGTCCTACATGAGCATCGACCGACCATCAGCCCACCCGGGTCAAGTCACACAACAAGGCAGGCCCAATTCCACAGGTATGGTAAACGTATAGGCACAGAGTCGGTGCATCTGATAAGGAGCTGCTCAACTCTCAAACCAGACAGTATTCCCAGCAGCATAAATTGTCGAGTGTTTTTGCTCACAGCCATGTTGCAGTTGAGTCCATCACGACACCAGTGACAAGTAGCAGGACGAACAGTAACAAAGAAATGCTTTTGTTACAGTTCATTTGAATAGCCTGTGACGGGATGACCTGGGATGGACTTGTGATGAATTTGCTGACGGCCTGACTTCAAAACTGCCTCACAGGCTCTTAAGCACCAAGCATAAAGTCTTCGGTGACAATTCTGGGAGGCACACAAGTGTATCCGTGATCACCAGTGTAAACATCCTCATAAATTGTCTCCAAACTAAGACAGACATTGTTCTGGTAACTTCCATGTGGTCTCGAACAAATCAGCTTCAAAAGGCGGAATTGAGATAGCAGAAGTTAGAATTTTAGTTGTACACAAACAGGTATCATCAAGTCTTACTGGTCCACTGTTGGACAATGCCTCAGCATTGCTGCATCCGAATAATTGACAGTAAAACTCAATCTCATTAATCATTAAATCATTTTGTTCTTGCACCAGGCACGGAAGGATCTCGAGCTTCACCAGCCATCCTTGCTGTTAAGACACCCAACAGCGCCGGTTCTCGTCACAGTAGAGCTCTGAGCGAGAGTGCCCTATCCCTCAACCAGCCCTTGCCTCCAATCAAACTGCCACCCAACAACACCCCGGAGGATGGGTTCAGAGGTCGGAGTTCAAATGGGAGTAGCAGGTCAGGAACCACGGGATCTAGTGGTTCAGTGCTGAGGAAAGGTGAGAAGACAGTCACACTCTGAAAAGGGTGAAATTGCCAGTAATTGTGGATGTGTTTCATATGTCTTTAAATGTTATTGTTCAGTGCATACAGTGTGCTAAGACTTTCTGGGTTTACCATGAAATTTGACAATTTTCAAATGAAAGGTAATTTTACAAAGACTAATTCCACTAAAACCTAAACTGTTGAGAGCTCAGTTTGCAAGTTAAGACAAGATTTCTGAAAAATGGCCTTGAGAGTCATTTTGATGGATCAGCTCGTGTCTAGATCCTCAGTGGAACTCACTTTTGGTTGATTTGTGTTTCCCCTTGGCAGACATGTCAAGGCCAGTCACCCATCCCTCTCCACCCCGTACCCCTCCTGGCTCCTCCCTTCGGCAGTCCCCACCCCTCATGAACACCGTCGAGCCGGATGCAACGGAAGACAATGAAGACGTTACATCGCTGGGTCATGTGACCAAGATCTCGATGCGTTCAGTGTCACGATCCTCGGAGCGTAGCTTTACCCCAGACAAAGAGACTTGACGGGGTTTAGTCACCTGTTGCCTCAGGCAAGGTATTGATGTCAGTCATCCCATTTCCAAAGGAATCTTTGTTTGGTAGCTTTCTCAATCCACCAGAAGCCATCAGTTTGCAGTGACCCAACACAATCACTAGGTATCAAAACATCAGGTCCCATATAGAGTAACATTGGCTGGAGTCCTCAACTTCTTGAAGTCTTAAGTCTAACACAATATAAGATTTCCATGGATTTAGAATGGTTGGTTTTTGAAACTATAGTCCTGTCAGTTCAGTGAGAAATCGCTTATCCACAATACAACTTTACACCTATATTCTGTGTGAAAAAAGATGGAAAATCGTGGAGCTTCAAGAGGTACCTTTTGATCATGCATTTATTATCAATCTCAGAGTAAATGTTCATACGTTTAAGTAACAAAAATAAACAGAGCGTGTTCACGCATTGCTCTATTGCTTCTATTGCTAATGTTAACCAGACTGTGATGTTATTCAATACTCTCTAAAATGCCGATGTGTAGTTGAATGATTTCAATACGGGCCTCCAAGAGTTTGCAACGTGTTGACCAATCACATTGCATGAAATCTTTCAACCCATTGCGCGCGTTTTGAAAGGGTTGACAGATTTCTCGCTCTGTGATTGGTCAATGTGTCACAAACTTTTGAAGGTGCTCTATTGTGAATCGCCCATATTCAACACTGGTGTAAAGGAGGTTTGTAGTTCAAGTCTTTCAAAGTCTTTAAATAGTTCCAAGTCTTTAAAAACAAATTAAGTTGACCTTTTTATCCTTTTGTAAAGTCTTCAGTGTACATTGTTTAAATGAAGGATACATGCTTGGTATAACGTACACAATATATATCACAATGACACAAGTTAGTATTTGTCAAACAACAGTGTAATTTAAGGCCATTGAAAAGCTATGTTTTATTGTAAATCTTAAGTCTGGTAATGGGGATGAACAAGTAGATCACTCTCTGTCACAGAAGTCTGAAAACACTTTGCCATTATTGTCTCTGCTCACTGGGCCGTGAGATCTGTTTCCGTAGCAGGTCAAGATTAGCCCAGTTTGATCTCTGTCCACCATAGTACCCATGTATACCCCTGCATGGAGAGAGGCCATTGTGGCTGATTCCTGCCCAAGTATGGCAAACCTGGAGTTTGGACTCATATGTATTACTCTTATGTATACCTCTAACACTAGAACCATGTCATTGGACCAGCTTTTTTCATCATGACAATGTAATGTTTTTGTCACACTTCGTTCAATTATTTTCCGACTTGTGGCCCATTGACCTGTGGTTGACTTTTGAGGACCAGTGATAAACTTTACTTCAACAATGCAACTCGGATATAGGTAATTCCAGAAATTAGGAGTCCATCTTTTGGTGTCCCTGTCACATCTGACGTATGATTTTGTAAGGTCAGAACACATTTTGTAATTTCCAAGAGTTATGAATTAATGCAGATTACCTGCCAAACAAATAGTAATAGTTTTGAAATCAATTCCGGTGATTCCATGTCAAAAAACAAAGGTCAGATGTAACAGGGACACAAAAATGTCACACTTTTGGACCCCTAATTTCTGGAATTATCCATATCATCATAAAGAAATTGCAGCTCAATTCTGTACTATTAATATTGGCCAAGTGGGTATTTCTCCATGCTAAGGAGATAAGATTTAACACTGTGTTCAAATTAAAAAGAGCAGAAAGAAGCAGTTAAAATATCCGTCCATTAAAAACTGAAGAGTTTTTGTATAAACTCAACTTGTGTCATTCAGGTTTAGTTATTTGTCGGATTTTACATTCCAGCTACAAATTGTAAAATAGTGTATATATTTTGCTTGGTCATCAGCACATCTAATTGTAAATAAACCAAGGGAAAAAGTTCTTCGGTGTCCTGTGGGTCTTTGAGTCAAACAAAATTGGAAAACAGCAACTTATTTGAAGCATTACCATTCCGTATACATCATTCAAGCATCCCGTAAACATAAGCCTTGACAACCATTTGCACAATTTTTAAAGTTCACAAATCTCAATAGAACTTTGACCTATTGAAATAGCTTGATTAGCCGGTAGAAGCCAGTTCCTTGCAATATTTTCCATGGCAATCTCTGTGTTTTAATTTTTTTCTCCCTGTGTACAGTTATCCCATGCAGAATTGTCCATAAAAACAATTTCAGCATTCCAAATTTTATTCCATCTGAAGAAAGACATGTAAACTTTTCACAATGCCAACTCAAACTGACCACATTCAGGAAACTTGTTCTACCAGATATCAAGATGGCATCTTATCTGCCCCTGGACTGTGCTTTTTTTAAAGACATTTCCTTGTTTGTCACATCTCAAGGTGTACCTCAAGGTCTGTAGGAACCTTGGAAGTCTTGATGATTAGCAAAAAGGCAAAGACAACTATTTGTCTGGAAAGTTAAAAAAAATTAACCTTTCATCATGAGCCCAATTTTTTTTGTCTCCAGCAAATACATTTTCCATTTTTTCATCACCAAAAGCCACGGGGGTAACTTATAACCTTCCACTTTCTAAAACAAAGTTATTTTTTCATAGCTGATTCTTGAAATCCCTAAACTGTTCACAATCACCATTTTGTAAGGCCATCACACATTTTTACAGCAACGTATCAACCTTAAAAATAACGTTACTGTTGAAAAAATGCTTCTCCCTCTCCCCCTTTTTTCTTTTCAAAACTCAAATTACACTGAACACTACATCAGTTCATTACAAGAAAGTCTGTCTCCATTAAGAGGGACTAAAAAGCTGTTAACTACCCAAATGTGGTAAAAATATTAAACCAAATTTGTAGTGTATGCTGTAATTAGTTTTGAGCTCTAAGCTGGAAGCACAGAGCCTTGGATGTAATCTTTATCTTTACATTGGGTACAACAATATTGTGAGTCTAGACTCAAGAACAAGAAAAAAAGTTTCCAGGACAATTCCAGAAATTAGGGGTCCAAAAGTGTGACATTTTTGTGCCCCTGTTACATCTGACCTTTGTTATTTGACATGGAAACATCACCGGAATTGATTTCAAACTATTACTATTTGTTTGGCAGGTTATTTGCATTAATTCATCACTCTTGGAAATTAGAAAATGTGTCCTGACCTTACAAAATCATATGTCAGATGTGACAGGGACACACACAAAAATGGACCCCTAATTTCTGGAATTACCCTCCAACCTTCTGTGTTTGTCATATTACAACACTTGGATGGTATTCAGTCACTTTTTATTAAGGGAATAGAAATGTGATGTTGAGAACACTGGAAAATTAATCATTGGATCTTAAAACAAAGATAAAGGCGTTTTGTTGTAGAATAACCACTGATCGGGTTGTATTATTAACTGGGATATAGAACCGATTGGGTTTCATTGCTTGGTTTTATTACTGGCTGATGGGTTATGTTACTGGGTTATATTACTAACTTACTGACTGGGTTGATAATACTTGGTTATATTACTGGGTTTTATTACTGGTTGGTGGGTTATGTTACTGGGTTTTATCACTGGCTGGTGGGTTATGTTACTGGGTTTTATTACTAACTTACTGACTGGGTTAATAATACTTGGTTATATTACTAACTTACTGACTGGGTTAATAATACTTGGTTATATTACTAACTTACTGACTGGGTTGATAATACTTGGTTATATCATTGTATTACTAACTGGGTACCTCTTACACCTGTTGAGGTCGAGGGATCTCGTAGAGCTTCCCATCATCGACGGATGTCTTGCAAGCTGTCGTCCCCTGATGCTGCACTTCCATATTGACAAGCTCATAATGACCCTCCTTTGCTGGCAGGTCTGGGGGATTGTCGCCTGTAGATTCTGGTCGGCCATGGGATTGTGGCTGAGGTCTGGGGATGTCATAGGCCATCTCTGATGGATTGCCTTCATGCCTGCCAGCAGGTGGTTCGCCAGGACTTAGCAGGGTCTTCATTGGGAGGCCCTGGTATCTCTGACTGTCAGTGTTGACCTGTTGTGGTATGTTCGGTCCCTTGGTCATTTTTTTCTTTAGGATGTAGTACACACCAGCTAGGGCTGCTGCAGACAGGCCAACACTCACCAGGACTCCGATTACTGTGGAAGGAGCATGACTGTGGCTCACTGCATTGTCATCCCTGAACTTCTCCGACTGGGTGTCAGTCACAGACACCAAACTCCAGTGGCTGTAAGCTGTCTCCTGCCAAGTATTGGAAGCTTTGCACTTCACTCTCAAACCGTTGTCTTCTGAAGCTGCCACTTGCGGAATCTGAAGCATCTTACCACCGTCAAGTATCTTGTAGCGGCAAGATGAGCAGTCGGGATTTACAGTCTTAATTTTCCCTCGCACCAGGGCATACCACTGGTAGTGGGTAACGTTAGATGCAGACTGGGTCACACAGCTGAAATCAGCTGGTTGACCGTTACTGGTGTGTGCAACATGAGGGCTGATAGCAACAATAAAATCAACTTTGAGAGGGGTAAGGGAACAACTTGGCTTTGTTAAGTCAGTGGGATGCTTACCCGCGCTAACAAGGCAGGTGAAATTCTTGAAGTTGTCACTTTCTCTGAGGGTCTTGGTGAATGTGAAGAGGTCGTCTGATTTAGTGAGCTGGGGGCCCTTAAGGACCTTCAAGGCTCCTGTGTACCACACCAGCAGGGCATGGTAGGAACCTCTAGGGGGACTGCAGGTCAACGACACAGTCTGACCAACTCGACTGGCTCGCACTGGTTTGCATATGGGCGGAGTCTCTGTCACATTAAGCACAGTCAGTGTTGTGGATCCTTCCGCATAGGGCTGCGATGGGGTGGAGACAAAACCAGATGCCTCACTCTTGTCATCCTGATCCCTACTCAACCCGCAGGAGTATTCCCCACTGTCTTCTGGTCTGGTATTGCTGATAATCAACTTGCTTATGGCATGCTTGTCAATGTACTTGACCGAAAAATGACGGGCATTGGACATGATATTGCTGCATTGGAATAGCATGGTGGGTCCATGATACCAGTGTAGGTCTTGACAGGATAACTGTCGCGGGAAGTTGCAGATGATTACTGCCTTGCTACCAGCGACCACTACCCGCTTCTGTGCGTAAACCTGAAAGGTCTCAACATCATCGGAAGTTAATGAAACACTTAAGGACGATGAACTTGAGGATGAAGAAAAACAGCAAGTCTGACCTATCATCAGACCTGACACGATGATCAGCAAAACCAACCTCGCTGCTTCCATGATTAACGTGTCTAACAAATGAACATGTGAAAATGCTGCTCAAAGCCAATGGCTCTCATTTACAGGGAACTAGGGAGGCTGTTATTACAAACAAAAGAATCTTTTGAGAAAATCTATTTCCTTCCTCAAACTCCGCACCATGTCAATCAGTCTGGTAAAAATGTTTAAAAGTACACTCTCAAATGCATTTTGCAACTTTTTTTCTTCTCAATCTTCAATGTTGTGCTCAAATAATTAACTGAAGCCAATATTAAACTCTAATTTAGCATTTGTAATTTTTTTTTGTCTGAAATGAGGGTCTGTGAAATTAATATTGTATAAAATTTGTCAGAATTCTTCAAGAAATCAGCATCTTTAAGCTGATAAGGAAGTATGGCATTGTAAAGTATAGGAACTGTCACTTCCTTATTACTAGCTGGAACAAAAAAAAGGGAGTCAAGACAAGAAGTGGGTCGGGTGGGGCAAATTCAAAAGCGAAATAAGAGATAGCGCCACGTAAACTCAGCGTTGCCCCTTACTCAACCTGAGAGAAGGAAAAAAAATTCTATCCAGAATTTTAAAGTAGGATTTGTCCAAACTACAAACATGGGGTTGTTACTTTCTGGTTCAACCTAGAGTAAGAATGGATGTCCGGTATCTGCTCTGTAGTTGAAACTTGCATGTACACTAACTGTGTGGCACATTTTCAAGTAAACAGTGCATTATTGATTACTTCAGGATCATTTGGGCCTTTTGAAGCAAGGTGGACACAATAGAAGGGTACTACTAGAAGTGGGTAAATTAAGAGTAAACCCAAAGATTTTACAGAGACCAAATAGCGCCCTCCTATTTTGTGATATAAAATGTACTGAACTGTAACGCAAGCTACTAAAGTGAATGTAGAATTCTTTATAAGACACCCAAATAAGGAAAGGTACTTTGCATTTTGTATTTTCCACACTGGGCAAGCCATTTGTATGCAAATTAACCTTTTGTATCCAAAAAGCCTTATCTTGAGTTCACAATTAATCTCAGTCCAATTTTTCAGTCTCCCTCTTGGAAAACGTTTTGAAGGATTTTATAAGAGTGACAAGTAACCAGTGGGGCGTGGTACCCTTTAGAGGTTTGTAGTGACTGGAATACAAGGGTTCGGGATTTTTTTTTTCAATGGGAGGTGCTCTGCAATATGCTGCTGCAAAAATTAAATTCTACAACTTCAAAAAAGTTGCAAATGTCTGAATAGAGATTACAGAATATCACCAATCAAATGATTCAGTGCAAACAGTGACTGCTTACAATGAATGTTGTGGATTAAAGCAAGTGGACAGACGACACCAGCTTTGTGGACAAGTATCTAGAACTCTTTAGAGAGTTACAAGAGGGTCTCTATTGTTGAAACCAAAATGGTGGATTATGCATGGACAATGTGGTACCGCACGTATAATGATCAGCCATTTTGGTTCCAAAGTCTGAAGTTGGCACTACTCTTGCTCCGCAAGTACCCCACCGCTAGCACCGGAGATACTGGAGTGACTTTTCCTACACATCATGCTGATGTGTGATGCAGCAACATGAAACAGTACACTTCAGATTAGGGGCATTACTTGTGCACACTTGGCGCCGAGTGCATGCAAACAAGCATGTGATGTGGCAATTCTCGTGACGAAAGCTCCCTCTCTCGCACTGCGCAGAGCCATCACAAGCTTGTCACTTGCCAACAATGAAATCACAGAAATCATTTTGTTGAAGAAGACCATTAGTTATTTTATTGTGTGCAATTTTCTGCAGGACTTTTCAATAACGACAAACAATGCATGCCAACTGGAACTTAAAAATATGGACGTACAATAGTTGATAGTCTATTAACAATAAAAAATAACATGATCACAATGTGAAGTCTCCTCTCAATTATCTAAAAGACCTGCCATAATTATTTTTCTCCAAAAAACACTAACTTTTTTTAAATTTTATTTTTAATTTTTTTTTTTCACAGAAAGCTAGGTGAGTGAAGATAAGCACAAAAAATTGCACCAATAAGAATATTACGTAGCCTTACTCCTGGCAACAGACAAAAAAATCAATTCTAAATTATTTTCTTTTCTATCCCATTAGGGACAAAAAGTGGTTGGAGTTTTAAAAACTTATTTTTTTATGCTTGGAACATCCAACATTATTATTCGGCCATTCCTCACTGGTAGGATATAAGCTCGATAACTAAACAATGCTGATCGTCAACAATTATAAAATGCAAAAATAGTAACAGCCAAGAAAAAAAAATTTGCTGTTTGAAAATAAAACAAAAAATTCCAAGGATTAAAAAAAAGGAGCTGGTAAAATGAATTATCGGTTGGAAGCTGATGTCTGTCTGTGAAACAAAGTATGCATTCCATGGCAAAGCTTGGGGTTCAAAGGAAAGGAAATGCACGTTTTCATTTCTTTGTAATTACAGATGAAATATAAGTGGGATTTTTTTTATTTTAGGAACCACTACGACGTCCTAGTTCCAGCACTGCAATCACCCTTCACAATTTGTAGCTTTGCTAAATTTCTTTTCCTACATCAACAATTTACAATCAAATGCCTCGAACAAGTTAGCAATGTAACATGTCGAGAAAACATAAAAATCTCGGTTTTAGGGCCTTTTTTAATCACCTGGCCCCACAGAAATGCATTACCAAGCACGCAGGTTGTTTTTGAACAACGTGCAAACTTTGAAGGTAAGCGATTCCCCGGGGAGGGGCATGTGCTAAAAAAGGGGATAATGAAAATTACAAAATCAGGAAAAACCACAAGACCATGAAATTCTGTCCAGAATTCAAATAAGCCAAGGCATGGTTTAACTGACCAGACGCATTTAAAACAGTACATTGTCAACACCTTTTTTTCTTCAAAAGATTCATCCAATCACACACTTTTACACAGACTAGAATTACTTACCAGGTACAACAGTACAAATGTTAACTTAAAAAGGTACATGAAGACCAAGTTAAGATCTGACAAGATTACTCATTTCATACTTATCTAAAAAGAAAACAAAGATACTGAAAAAAGTCAAGTTATCTTCTTTTGCCAAGTATCCACTTCCCCCTCCCCTCCCAAAGAAATTTGGCAAGAAACATCCCCCACAGTTATACAAGCATCCTTCACACCCATTTTCACAATTTTTTTTTGTTAAAGTACATGAATTATCAAGATGTGTACTGTATGAACTCTGCATGTGCTCTTGAACAATTAACCTATATACCTTCAAGATCTGCAAAACTCGTACCTTTTACTTCCACAAGAAAAAAAAAACACTGTTCTGAAAACAACCGTTATCACAGCTACCTCCAACTGTACTATGCTTGAACCAGTAAAATTGACATGCAAAAAACAAAATAAAAATATCAATAATTGTTAATATCTCTGACAACAGCAGGCAGCGTATATTTAATGTTTCTTTTTTTTTTTGACAAATCCTACAGTACAACTTCTGCGATACGTTCTAACATTCACATTTGTTAATAGTACACCCCCCCACATTAACCTTGCCGCCAAAAAAGTCAAGGTGGAGAACGCGTAATCAAACAGTGTTTGTGTTTCGACGTGATAATAAACGCCTACCACCATCTATGAATATATACATATACAATGTAAAATCTTACGTTACTCCCACAATTCCCCCCTTACTGTACTTTTTAAAAAGAGATCTGCACAGCTGCTTAACTTATAGATTCATGTGATTAGTAGGGAGGAAAAACAAAACCAAAAAGTGTCCTAGAGAAATCTGGCTTAGCAAGAATGGGTTGTATGTTGGACGTGATGAGCTCGAAAATGGTAGAATATGGACTCCTGGATTACTCGATGAGAGCGAGAGAGAACAGAAATTTCCTCAGCAGTCAAGCTGGCACTGACTGACTTGGAGAACAAAAATTCCCGCAAATTCACAAATTTTTACAGATTCTGGTTTTGTTTCTTATTGGAAATTCTTACACTTACAAGTAACCCACGGCAAAAAGTGGAGAGCAGTAGAACTGCCAAACAGTCAACCAAGACAAGTTCTCTTGAAATAAAGATGGAAAGTTACTAGAAGTTAATTTTTGCAGCCAGCAGTAAGGTGTGTGGTCATCCAACTCAACAAGCAAGATTTTCATGTGCACGGAATAGGTACCATACTAAAAAAAAATCCACATGGACCTGATCCAACTGGTTGTGATCAAGTCTAGACGGGTTCAAACTGGTTCAATCCATCTGGTTGTGATCAAGTCCAGACTGGTTCAAACTGGTTCAATCCATCTGGCTGTGATCAAGTCGAGACTGGTTCAAACTGGTTCCATCTGTGCCCTTGCCAGATACCCTCACACCACATTACAACAGTGATACCACACCACATTAGAGCCCACAGCAAGCCACTTGCATTGGCACTGATCAGAGTGCCACTTTAAATCAACCCCCAATATCCGAGTTCATTTTTCAATCTTCCAAAGGATGCATACTCAGCAGTGCAGAGCAAAGAGACTATTCTTTAACCGTTCCTCAACGCTTGTTCTGAGATCGGTTTTGAGCATAGGCCATTTCACGGCATCAGGTTCGGAGTGTGCCAGACTTATCAATGTAAGATGTTTGAGCAGTCCATAAAAACTCACTGAACCCAAATGGGTCTTGGAGCTTTCAGGATATCAGTACATGTGCTATAGACACTGGTATCTACTCTGCTTCTGACATGTATCCAACAAACAAAAAATTAAGGGAAAAAAAAAGAAAGAAACAAAAAGGCTTGCTTTTTTAAAAGTTAAACTATATGCCTATATGCTCTTCCCTCCCTTGCCAACAAACTCCCAACAATCAATCCTATGTCACATATCATTCAAACGGGGAATGCATAGTACTGGTGGTTTTCTTTTTAAGTATTGGTTAATTCTTGGGAATCATTGTTTCACCTAATTCACATCCAGCTCAGGGATGTGACCTATGACCCTTAAAGTTACTCCACACATACATGTTAAAAAACTTGTTGGTGGACATGTCTCGGTGTACAATGTACACAACAAAACTTGTCTTGGACTAAAAACAGTGAAATAGTTCAAGGCATAGATAATTACACATTCACATCCCGCGGTGCCGAATGTTAATACATATATAAATACATATGGGTTCATATTTATTTATATACATATGAAGTCTTATAAATAGCAACACACAATACAAGAAACGAAACCAGAGCCTCAACTCAGATGTCAGGCCAGGCAGACAGCAGTGCAACTCTAATTAAACCACTTTTTCTTTTTTTTTTTCTTCTTTTTTTTTTTCTTTTTCAATTTGTTTAATCCTTATGAACTACTAATCTTACGTTATACACCAACTGTACAGTAATATATGCTCGGACCAATTCAAAAAGGCCTGTTTATTGAGTTCTAAATCTAGTGATGTGTTTAGGAGAGAAATAATGAAGGGCAGTTTTCATAACGTTGTTGTCTGATGGATTATATTTTACTTATACACAGTTGCAAGGTTTTTCAATTCATCAATGTGTGCATACCTGCCATCAAAATTGGCAATTGTTTTTTTTTTAAATAATTTTTAAACTTTTTTTTGGTTTGGTCCCTTTAAAGGTTTTTTATTTTTAAACTTTTTTTCATAAAATTCAAAACCTGCCAGCACTTTTTTTCAAACAAATGAATACAATGAACATCCTTCAGAGCAGCCTGGGAGAGTTAACGTCCACCCAACCTGTTACACCTTAAGACTACATTGGTTACGGCACCAATAACCTACACGTCGTTTCCAAGTGTTTATCCCAAATACAGATCTATACAACAAGTGTCTTCCATAATGAACCGTAGCCAGATATTGGATTTCTTTTAATCACTATTATTGTCAATACAACAGAGGCAGCCTTGTCTGATGTTCAACCTTTGTCTTCAAATTTACTGAATGACTGTGTCTTTTTCTTTGGAGGGGGACGGGAGAGGAAATTCACGTTTGTGATGTTGCGGCAAGGGATGACTTCATAGTACCATTAATAACCAAAGAAAGAAAGAAAAAAACACTCAAATGAAATTAATAAATATGCTGGTAATAGCAAGTTTAAATGAGTAGGCATTTGTGCATTTCATTGTCAAAAAATTACATTCTTTCCATAAAAATTGCCCACCCGAAAAAAGGGAGAGGGAGTTGACACATTCAAGCCAAACTGCTTAAACCTTAAAAGGTGTTAAACATTAACGAATCTCCTAAAATGACTACCCCACAAGCAAGGACACTATCAAGAAGATTTAAAAAAAAAAAAAAAGGACAACCTTTCAGGGTGGCCATCGTTGTCATGATAATCACCATCATTTTTTAAAATGTATTAATATTAGCAGTTTTTTTAATATCAACACTGAGATCGTGAGAAAACAATAGGTTAACAAAAGTTGACAAGGCGTACACAGTGCCTAAAAGGTTTGTCTCTCTCACTGAATGTTACGCCAACACAATTACTTTATATGACTCAACACAGACCACCAATTCGTGGAATCTAGCACCACTAAAAAATCTACTCGAGTCCTAGAGACAATACAAGACTACCCAGGATTCTACCCTCAATCCCATCCCACCCATCCAACCCCCATGAGACAAGGTGTTCTAACAGGGTGTTGTTATGCAAAGAAACTAAGACTTTTTTAATTCCTCTTAATTGACATTGTGTTATTTGGTTGGGTTTTTTTCCGGTTGCCTTTTTTCTTTAGCTATTAAGACACTAATGGTTGGGTCAAACCCAATTTCTCTTAAAAACTCTTCATGAAATACTTGAATTTTTCACCGGTGCCCATGTGATTTGGTTTCATTTGCTTTTTTTTCCCCTCCTTTTTTGGTTTTCATATCATCTGCCATAAAGTCCTGCAGGAAGTTAACATTAATTCTGTCATTTCTTTTCCAGGATCCCAATCCAAATGTCTCTAAAAATTGCATCAGTCCAACTTTCAGTGGAGTTGCCAAACGAAACACAACTCGAATTTCAATTTGCCAGCTTAACAATAAAACAGTGCTATGCAATTAACAGCATTAGTAACTACATGTACTTTTCTGTAGTGTTCTGGCAAGGGAACGTGACATGCAAAATGTCAAACCGCATACCAAATCTAACCTCGGCCGTCAAGGTCATCAAAGCTCACAACTTGCCCAATTGATGCATGTGGCAGTATCAATGGTAACAAAACTCGTCTGCTGATACCTTGCTAAAAAAACAAAAAACCAATTGCCATTAACCAGAAGATTAACTAGTATCACAGAAGTAAAATATTTTCAGTTTTTAAATATATATATATATAAAAGAAAATTACTTAAATATTAAACATCTGTTTGGACAAAACCAACATTTGAAACTGAGTACCTCCTATGTACTGATGCTCATAAACATCATCCGGGAATATCGACATTAAGTCTGATGTTACTGAGCAAGCTGTCTGGTGTTTGGACTCAAGTACAGATTTATTTCTCTCTTTTTGTTTTAGTTATAGAAAACACAGCCTACTGAATCCAAGGGTATCAAACAAGACAGCTAGCCATGACAAAGCTGCAGCTCATGACAGTGGCAAAACTTGCCGGCGTCCTCATTTTTCTCTCAAAATGTCCCAAATTAAAGACACCACGCACAACATTCCAGTGTATCCACGGCACCTACTGCGTACATGCTTCAAGGGCCAGCCAAATGAATAGTAAAAACTGGGCCCGTGCTGGTGGTGTCCGGTGCATTTTTATCAATTTTTTTTCCCAAAAAGGAAAAAAAAATTCTACACAATCAGCAACAATTTCCACACGCTTGAACTTCCAGTTGAATAAATCAATTAAGACCAGCTCTTCTTGATGCCAGTTGCTTTTACTTTTTTCTTTTACAGAACAACTTTTTCCAGAAAGTCCAAAACGTGCCGGCACGTTGTTTTAAAAAAAGTCTTAAAACGGTCCCAAAATGTTTCCTTTTGGTAACGATTTCTCTCACTCCCTCACTTTAAAAACAAGAAAAAAGTCCATGGAAAAAAAAATCTAAAATCCGCACGAAAATGTTGCCCTATTGTGTTTCACCGTTCATGTACGCAAGACTGTACTTATGCACATTTATGACAGCCATTCGGTTGACGTTGTTAGACTAACAACGGTCGTAGAAAAAATGGCTAGCGTGATTGAAAATACAACAAAAGGCTACGTGGCTATAACCCCCCGGCCACTGGGTGAGGCCATAGCCCACACCACACTGTGTCGACCGGTGGACAAAAATCACGCACTCTCTCGCTCGCTCGCTCTAACACTACACCAGATTGTACTCCTTGAGGTTCAACTGGAGAATGGTGTCCTTGACAGCCGCAAACACAAAGCGAATATTCTCCGTGTCCGTGGCGCAGGTAAAATGGGAATAGATGATCTTATCGCTGTCCGGGTTCAGCTCCACAAACATCTTCAGGATGAATTCCCTTGCTGCTTGAGCATCACGCTGGGGACCTGTGGAGGGGGAAGACAGAGAGTAAACGACGAGGTGTCAAAGTTCATCTTGAAACGTCAAGCTTGGTTTCCATATGATTGCGCTTTGACATCCTAATTTTGTCTAAGAGTGTAGAAGAAAAGAGATAGAGTGTTGGATTTTGCTGGATTCAATAACAATATGACAGCATTTATAAGGTACACAGCACCTAACAGTATCTGTCATTCATTCACAGGTGCCGAGACTGTATTATCCCCTGCTCAGTGAGCTCACAATATCTACATACTCCTCAGACCATCTCAGCTCCCTTCAGAGTATACTTGCCTTATGCTGCCATCTAAGGTACAAATAGGGGAACACGACTGTATCTGCCCTCAGAGGTACCCATTTACTCCAGGGTGGGGAAGGGCATGTTGGGGTACAGTGACTTACCACAACATGTGACCAGCTGGTAGGATTTGAACCCCAGACCCCATAATCAGAAGTTACAAACCCTAGCCACTGGGCCACAAGTCCCTTTGGGAAGGTTTCTAGAAAAACATCTAGATACATGTATTTGAACGCCTGAATTTTCTTGTTGGTTGACATTTGAATTCTTGAACTTGCTAGATTCTCAGGATCAGCAACAGCCACACCAACTTCAAATCTGACAAGCTTCCCACACAATGCTCCCCCAAATTTCTGTAACTGTGCCCCAGGTCATCAGATCCAACTGTATCAAATTTAAATGAAATTTCTTTGGAGGGCAAGTAATTATTAAAAATCTAGACAAAAGTATGGCATCCCTGAGACTGTGGAAGGTTATCCACAAAACTGACTGGGTATACTGTCCCTTCTAATAACCACCTCATACTCATACAAATCTGCTTTTGCCTTTTCAGATCATGTCAGGTAGGAACTAGCCTTCACCATGGCATATTTGAGGGTACATACCATCAAACTCTGGGAAGTAATCTACAAGATGTGAGTGCATGATCTTTTCCTCCAGCAGGTCTTTCTTGTTGAGGAACAAGATGACCGACGAGTTCTGGAACCAGGGATATGTGATAATTGTCCTAAACAATGCTTTGCTCTCTTCCATCCGATTCTGTAGAAAACAGACGAACAGGGAAGAAAAAAAGGAGCTTGCTTTGAGTAAATATTCAAATAAAGCACTGAGAATACCACGTATGTACATAGCCTGATTTGTAAGCTTACCTCACAATCCTCAACTTCAGATGACAAACTTGTGCTGCTAGTGATAGCACTGGATTTCTACACTATGCAAGATTCTTTTATCAGTGAAATTCTGCTCTTTCTTGGGAAGAATTATTTTTCTGAATGCACTGTTAGGAGATCTGTGATTGGCAAAATCATTCGTATGATGTCAAACAGCAAGCAATGTTCAATGAGGTGAATTTCTTGGCCCTTATCCTTCAAGATTAACAAGGTATTCTGGGTAGAAGTACCCCCTCAATGGCAACAAAGAGAGAGCCTACTGGAGACCGTTTCCATTGGGTGGCTAGGACACACAAAATATGTATATTCAAACTAAATGAGGTCATACAGGCTCAGCCTGGCCACACCAAATGCACACAGCCCTGTACCCACATATGGTGTGTCCCACCAAAGGGGTGTGACTTCTAAATAAGCGCACTACATCTCTGGTTCATACACAAAGTATAAGAAAGCACCATTGAATTCTGCAGGATTGAGGGTTATTCCTTAAAAATGCCCAGAAAATTAGTGTTAAGAACAACGTTGAAGGTGCGACAAACTTTACTCACTTGTTGACATCATGAAACCGGCTTTCCTTTCACATTCACAAAGAACACACAGTCAACATAAAGTCATCTTCAGCAAACGCAAAGAAAGGGTTTCACAAGAACTGGTGAATGCTCAACTGGGTCCTCAATGCTGACCATACAGTAAGCACCAACACCATTTCTAAGCGTACTGAAGCTGAAGGTTGTTAATGAGTGCTTCATCCGCCCTGCGCACACGCACCCCTTCATCAGTCGGAAAGAGCCATGTCGGTGGAAAGTGTTTACTTTGTCGGTAGCCACGCGATCCTACGGCATGCGTTTCATAGTCATTTGTGAACCAGCGGAAGTTCAGTCCCTAACAAAAGAGCCTCCGTTAGGAATAGTGCGCCCGCTCTTGGTCCCACTTAGGCCTCATGAGGGAGAAGCGCAATAACCCCATAGCTGACATACATACCTCGCTATCGGACTCTACCAGTACTTGGTCATATTCACTTAAGGCGACTAGGAACATGATGGATGTGACGTTCTCAAAGCAGTGAATCCACTTACGTCGCTCCGACCTCTGACCTCCTACATCAACCATTCTAGAATAGGGAAGACAAATAAGGAGTGCCAGTGCATTAATCTACCTTTGACCAGCAAATTTAAAACCATATAATTTCTGCTCCGAGGATGAGATGGACTTGGAAAATGAACAAATTAAAAAGGTGATACAATGTAGAGTGCATTAAATTTGGCACCGTAAAGTCCTTTTGGTCGTGGAAGTTCTTCCAAATACAGTGTCCCATGTCTTCAAATTTGTGATATGAAAGTCTAGTGAGAGGATGCAAATATGAAAATCTTGACTACACAACACCTAATCTGGCCTTCAAACAACTGAGTTCACCTATGGCTAACGTTTACATCCAGGTTGACAATCTGAATGGCCATTGAAGGACGGCCGTAGCAATATGGCAGTTAAAAAATGGCTCCAGCATGATGGTTGCTGAGAGGTTGCCGAGACAAAATAGCCTGAAGACAATGGTCACAAACACAGTGGCTAAAACATGGCTGTCACAACTCTGCTATACATATGATGCGCCTAAAATGGCTGTTGCAATATGGCAACCAAAGGCCACACCTAACTCGGGCATTCTCTGGCTATGGCTCTGGCTAAAGCCTGAACAACAATGTCCATAATTGGACATAATATAGCTGCCCCAAGATGGCTGCCCCAAGATGGCGGCCCCAAGATGGCCACAATAAGGCTTTATCCACATCACTTGGCCTCAGCCTGGAGCAAGTCTATGAGAAATGGCCACAGAACACTAGTGAGTGGCTTTCACAGACACACACTCTAATTTCCAGCAGTTGCCAAGTGATTCGGGTAAGACCTAAGATGACAGCCACAATGTGGCATCCCCAGAGACTACCATGAGCTGGCCTAACTGAAAACCAACCTGAAAATAATGGAGTCTAAATCAAATGGGTACTCGATGATGCCTGTCGTAGGCACTCTTACTCTCAATACATCTTGTTCTGTGGGAACGTAGTTTGCATTAGCGATTCGCCTTAAATCGGAAAGGTAGCTGAGGAAGAGAAATGAAAAGTAAAACACAGAGTCAATCAATGCTTCACGGAGATCCTTTTCACTGGTGTTGCATCTTACACAATCTATAAATGAAGTTTCTGCAGTATAGTCCTATCAAATACACGTACATGCAATCTATTCTCCCACGCGGCAATGGAAGGAAGAGGACGATGAAGACGTGTTGGAGAAACCCTAAGACAAGAATTTTTGGGAAAACCCAAGGAATCAGGGAGGGAGTGAAACCCACTCAATGTACTGCCTGGGTAGGACTTGAACATGGGTCTCAAGGACGGAAGACACAGGAATTAAACCTCAGCATCAATCTGATTCGGTGACAGGTTTTTGAGATTTAATTTCAATAAAGCTGTGAATAATATCTGTAACGGACACGTAAACACAAAAAACAAGGGGTCCGTTTCATTCAGCAGCTAAGCATAAAACGCTTTTAAGCAAAGCAGGTAGTAAGCCATTTTGCAGATGTACATGAAGCATGAAGCATGTTCTGTATGAGTGGTTCTCAACTTACAAGTGCTAAGTAAATTAATCCTTATTCCCAGACTTGTTTTGCTGGACAATCTACTCAATCCCTCAAAATCCTCCAACTATCCATGCAAAATAATTTCATGCAACCTTAATTCTGTAAAAGGCTCCAACATTTCTCAAATATGCTCCTTTGAGGGGGCCCACTGCCTAAATCCTTCAAAATCCTGCAGCAATTCCTGTTGTTACGTTGAGGCAGTGCAAATGCTATCCTGGAGCAACAAAGAGGATTTCATAAACACAGTAGACATTAATTTATGTATGGCTGAGCGTAAGATAACACAAGGTCTAACCCACAACCTTGACACAATGCATTCTTTGCAATCAGCCACATTTTTTTGGGGGGGGGCATATTTCCTCAATCCTCCAAAATCCTCCAAAACCCCCCGGAGGATTCTGGAGGATTGAGGAGAGTATGGATTAATACACCCAGCAACACTGTAGTCTGTACAAGTAGGTTATGATTCAAACTTATTTTTTATTTTCTAGATTTTATGCATGTAATTTAGTTATCCTACATGTGCTACATACATGTAAGCCGGATATGTCTAAGAGATTTGACAGACAAAAGCCAATTTGATGGACCTGCTCAGCAAACAATGCTAAGCCAAATGTAAGCAAAAATTCAATGAGAAACTTGTACCCAGAGTAGTGTGTTCATCAATGTACATGTATGAAAAGCTTGCCTCTGAATGGTGCATTTCATGTGCTTGGCAGCTAAAATAACTCCTCTGTGAAAGCCATTCTATGTGAGCTGTCGGGCTGCTATAAAGCCAAGGTCATTTTGGCTGTCCTTGACGCACACGTACATGTTGATCTCATTAAGGAATAAATGTTCAAATGTACAGTCGACTCTCGTTATTACAAAATCAGTGGGACCAAGTAGAAACGTTCGCTGTATCCGACATTCGCTGTAGGCAGAACGCAGTGCAATGGCTTCGATGCATTAAATGAACAGGTTGTGTACAATGCCATGTACAACATACTGTACATATATACACGTGAAAGGTGGTTGATGTTAATGATATTAGAAAGATCTCTCGGTTACGATTAATCAACTATATTGCGATGTGTTTAGAATAATTAACTTCACAGTCATAACGTGTAACTATTTAATACTTGGGAGACATGAGACTGGGTATATGAAAACCTGCTTCAAAAAAAACTGGAGTTATAAATGCAATAATATTGTTAACATAAACACAACCGCCACATTTGTATGAGGACTAAACATGATGGTAACGGTTGTAAATGAGACACCAAAATGTGACCTGGCAATAATGATGGATTAAAAAGTCTGTAATGACTGATGTAAATGTTGTTTGATTTTTTTGTCTGTTGTGTTTGATGTTGTAAGTTATGCCTTCTGAATGCTTGTACGTATGTTCAGTTGAATAACTGACAGATCATGTATTTTGCAAAGTCATCTTAGTTTATGGTAATGTTTGTCACATGTGGTGTCCTGAGCGGTTACGAGCGTGAAAACTGATGCTGCTCTATTACCGCCAAAAGTTTTAGTTTGCCCAACTGCCCCAATCAACTAAAAATAGCACATCATTCTGTAAATTTAGAAGCCCAAGGAATCTGCAACTGTTGCCACGAATGAAATTTACAGACTTTTCTCATGGTGATTGCAATCACGTCCTGTTCGTCACGTGTTACGAACATGTGCGGTGTACTGCGTTAAGCCTACACTTGCTGATATACGTTCCAGTAAAACCATATAAACACAGCCTCGTACCCAGTGTGTATGGACGACATGTGCATGAAATGTTTCCTACAACAGGGAACAAGGATGGGGTCGCGACCTTTGTCGTGTCTTCACGTAGGTACAGCTGTTACGAGCGAGACTGTCAAAACTTATGGTTTGCAATCCGAGGAATCTGAGTCAATCCACTGCCATCTCACGATATTTCTTCATTAGAAGCCAAGTGTAAGAACTTACGTCCTGTTTTTAAAAAAGAAATTTTTATTTTCTCATCAGATGTCACAACCAATATCATATAAGTGCACGTATGACAAAATGTTTAATGTGCATGCGAGATAAAAAGCATTTATCATGTGAAAGCATTGATCCAGGGATTTTTAAAAGACTTTCGATTGCCATGGATGACAACGAAGCCAACAGTAACTAAACAACATGCAGGCCTGTGTGTACCTGCAAGAATGTGAAGACTCATCAACTGGAGCCTCCCATCCATGTAAATACCGCTAGTCTTTTCAACACAAATTGTGTCATGGAGAGACATTTTTATTTAATTTTCCATCAGACTTTAGATTTTAGACACTAGCTACATGAACACCATTGATCGATACTTTTAATTTCACTCGCCTACTGCGGTGCAACTGCCTGCATGCGAGATGGACGCTGGAGAAGCATGATGTCACGAGGGAATATTGTGATTGGATAGCTGTGTCTTGCAAAATGTACGTCATGTAAACAGTCTCACTGGCGAGTACGCTAGATCTTTTTGCAGCAGCATGAATAATTCAGTATTGGACGATTAGTTAGGCTTTTGAGATGTGAGAATAGCAAAGCGAAATTATTTGCTGCGTATTTTTATCGGAATTGGGAAGGGAATTTTTGTTTTGTTTTTTGTGTAATCAATGTAAAAAATCACAGATTTTGAATCATATACTACACTTGTCACGATGACAGGAAACTGGCAGTGTTTTTTCAACTTCCAACTGTAGAGCAACATTCGTATACGATGTAGTGACAGGAATTGTACATTGACTGGTTGCCACGTTTCCATCATGCCTTCTTTGCCAACAGGTCGGCCCGGCGGGAGCCAGTGTGGTGCACTGCACACGTTTTCACCCTGCGATTCCCAAACAGTCATTATATATAGGTCGTCAACAATGGTTTTCAGGCAACAGAGTCACTAAAGCCTTTCATTGTACCAGGAATTTCCTACAATGCAATTTCACTGTAACAGATTTTCTCCCCATAGAAATGTTCACGTTTTTGCCGGGACCAAAGATGTGTTTGTTATAACCGGAATTTCGTTATAGCTGATTTTGTAATAACGGGAGTCAACTGTACAAGCAATGAGACGATACATTTGTCGCTGATGTTACGTGAGCACCATGTTCACATGTATTGTCCATGCCTGCACTGGTTCATATACATGTACACGTAAAACTTGTGATTGGCATACAATGGATGTACTGTAACATCTTGGTAGCTCAAACCTCAGGGGAATGATCAACAAATTGGAGATTTATCATGTTTTTAAAAGAACGAAAGTGCCCAGGTTTGATACAGTCACATCATAGTGACACCCACACATACAGCACACATGCATTAACAACTTGTTCCGCAGTGGCTATCTCTAACTTTATTGTGGTGATTTTTCTTCTATTTTTCTAATGGTACATGTTTTTGCTCATAAATCATATAACTGAGATTTATGTTGTTCTTACCCAAGATTTCTGTTCTACTGATTAACAATAAACTACTCAAACTGTGCATCCTCATGCGGCAATTTTTTTTTGGTTGGGTTTCATGTCATTTGGTATATCTTGTCTGTAACGCGATGCCCTGTGCATTCTCATATTTCCGATGTTTGGTGACATGACCTTTCCTTTTTAATTGCTTAAGGGCGCAGAGCTCTGCAATTTCCCACAGCCACTCATGTGGTCACATGGCCAAGTCAGCAACCACATAGTCCATGCCTGAGGTACAAGTAGGCCCACAATTGGGCTAGCAACAGTAGCTTAAAAAAGTAAGGCTTTTGTTGTGGTTACAGAGTGGTGCATGTGACTAGTCAATCACAATCGCAGCGTGCATTGCCTACAAGTCCCAGTGCGAAAAGACAAAGTGTGCTTGGCATTAATGAGTCACAGTTGAAGTCTTGCTTCTTTTTTACATTTTTTTTCGAACTGCTTTGGCAACGGTTGCTTTTTGACTCGCCTTATAAAAACTTTTGAGCTAAACACACGCATCGGTAGTAAGGACATTTTGAGTTACCAAATATTTTTGTGGGTGAAAGACTTTTCTTTGGGTGAGAATAAAGTAGATACAAGTACATCTTCGAAATAACTTTGATTTCACAGATTTGATGTAAAGACTTCAATGAATAGTTTAAAACTGACAATTCAAAGCGTTTTTACAGGTGAGATGATACTAGCATGCATATAAGCATGTGGGGAAGTAAACATAAAACTGACAATGTATTCTCCAAAAAGGGCAATACCATGTACCAGTACACTTCATTAATACTGGGCAGAAATATTAACACTAGTTCCCTTGGGTGTGTGCCAAACCATATTCAGATTGAAAGATCCAGGACTGTCAAGGTTAATGAAAAATTTTTTTATAATGTTGACAAATTTACAAGGCAATTTCTTGATTATTTAATTCCCCTAATTTAAAAAAAAAAATTCATTTCTTTCTAGCTTTCCCAAAGACTCCCCATCCCCCATTTACAAGGGTTTGCTGCTAGCCGAGAGACAAGACTTTGGAGATGGTCCCTGAGCATGTGTCAGCCACTGGACTTTGAGCCAGTAATTAGGAGCAGACCAGTACCACAGCACAGCCCTAGCAAAGGCAGCCGGCCACGAGGCAACGATGTAGATGGAATGAGTAGGCTGGAGTCTTTCCCATTGTACACTGATGAGGCCGCGTGTGCCCGTACACACACTTGCGCATACAGCAACCTCCCAATGATAATACATCCCGTGTAGGCGGTGTCACGTGATCTTAATGAATGCAAGGCAGGGATGAACACAGAGAAAGCCGCACAGCCATGCATGAATTGCAGAAATGATTTCATAAATCCACACTTGCAAACCCAAAGAAACTGTCCTTGCTATTAAAACCGAAAAAGACAACCGTAGAGGGATTGGAAAATCTTGCACAGAATGTATAATTCCTTGTCATTCCTTTGTGTACTTATAATTTGGAATTTCGCTAACTTTATTCAATTTTCTTTCCCTTGTAATTAATTTGTTTAATTGGAACTCTTCCAGAACACTTTTTTCTTACATGTATTTTTGTTCTCCCCTTTTTTTCGATTTCTCTCATTTTAAATTCCTGTTTTAATAATTCAACCCCCAGTCATTTTCAAGGGCAACAAACAATTCAATTAATCTTACAAAACCATTCTCTTTTGTTTTTCCTTATGACTGCCACTACCCAGGACCTGTCGCACAAACAGCAACCAGGCGAAGGAAACAAGTGTGTATACCGCCATCGTTTGTCTATGCACTTCCAACTCGTTTGACGTCAACACTCTGACGCATGGGAAATGCTGAGTCTATTTAGAGACAGTTGCTTCATCTATTTACAGCGAGGGGAACCGACTGACCTTGTGCATTATCTTCAAGCAGCCTCCTCTGAATTGCAACAGATTGCAGCTGTATTTAGACCCATTTCCTGCCCATTTGAAAAAAAGAATTTGGCAGAACTCCTGCTCCCAATCTTGGTGTGGTTTTTTTTTTTAATGTCATTCTCTTTTTCATCAAAGTCCAACAGAACGTTATGAAAAAAAAAGGACAACATGGAATTCCATATTGCATGAACCCTAACTCTCCTCAAGACTCCAAAATCCTCCGTGAGGTTTTGTAGGAAATTGGAGGATTCAGGAAGAATGGGAAAAAAAGGTACATTGTGAGTTAGACCTTATGTTGTTTATGCTCAGCCATGCAAACAAGTACATTTGTAATTTCATGTCTAGATTTAAAAGGAAATCACCCACATAGCTTCAGGATACCATTTGCACCGCCTCAAAACTATTTGGAAGGATTGAGACAGTAGACACCCTGGAGCATATTCCAGAAATAATGGAAGATTCAGCAGGATTGAGGGTGGTGTTGTACCTTGCAAAAGGTCAGGGCAGGGAGGTTAGGGTTAACTTAACTGCCAATAAAGAGGCTTTTAGAAAAAATATTCTTTCGAAAAATGTTTTGATAGCTATTTACTCTTAACAGTTTTTGTCGCGTTGTCTTTTTTTTTTTACTAAAGATATATTTGTACTGGTACAGGCCTCAAGTGATTGCTGGCCAATTGCCAAAATGCAAGTGCAGTACCAGTATGTATAATACATATAGTACATGTCACTGTAACGTCACCATCACTGGTAACACAGCTGTAGTGCAGGGATTCACATTTCCTTGGGAACCAGCTGAGTTTGTCAAAATGTTGAATGTCCAAAAAAAAAAAAAACCAGAAAACATAGAATTTTGATTTTAGAAAATGGGAAACCTAGCACCTTACGTTTCATCTCTAGAGTCTGACATACGTGTACAGGTACATGAATATTGGCTATATGATGTGATTCAGTGAACTGATTTGATTCACAATCACGTCCGTAAATTGTATACACAATGAGCTATTTTGCTGTTTTGAAAAAAAGTGACAATAACCCCTTGGAACATGGAGACCTGTTCCTGAATGGAAAAAGAAAAGCGGGCTTGAAAGCTTTGCTGGGAATTTTGAACCGTTTCTGGAAAATGCTGGGCACAGCATACTCATGACACCAAGGTCAGACTGACTGACTGGGGAGGGGATGGATAGTGGCAGGGGATTTTAGGCTGGGGAAGAGTAAACGGGAGGGAGTAAGTCGATGGGGAAAAGGAGAAACTTACTATTTTGCTGAATCAGTGAGCTGGTATTCTCTCCTTCTGTCGTAGCACTCCTGTATACCAGAATCGCTCCATATACTTTCTATGTACGTTACGTTTGGTTCTACAAACTGTGTTACATTCTCGTGGTCTATTAATCTAATATCTGCAGACCTTTTCTGTGGATGAAAACCAAAAAGAGAACAACATTCACTGACACATATCTCTTGAAATACAATCACGTTCTCAGGTCAGACATTCATGTGTACAGGCCTTGAGGTTTCAGGACATTCTCATTATGGGGGCTTTTCTTGACAAAAACAAATACGTCCGTTTCACAGCAGTGCCCCACCAAGAGTTTGCAACGCGTGGGCCAATCACAGTGCGCGAAATCTGTCGACCAAATGCGCGTTTGGAAATGGACAACAGATTTCGCGCATTGTGATTGGCCAACGCGTTGCAAACTCTTGGTGGCACACTATTGTGAATCGCCCATATTGCTCAGTAACATTTGCCATTTCTTCCTTGTACTTTATTATGCTTAGAATTTCCCCACCTTTCGACAGAGAATGTAACAACATTTCAGTACGATGGTCACCTGAATGAAAATATAGTTTGGAACAAAAGGAACCATTAAAAACACTGCTACAGATTCTCAAATTCATTTTAAATTTTGCCACATAAAATACATTTTTTTCTTTGCCAAAAAAAATAATGTCTTCTTTACTCTGAAAAACTACTAACTTCAGATGAATGGTTTCTTTGGAACTGAAAGAAAAGTTTTAAGAATGTCTGGCAGCTAAATATTTCTGGACCAGAGTTAACTATGTTCTTGAATTCCGACAAAACAAAAAAGGAAACTGGCACACTATTTCTCCTTCAGTGGCATTTTACGTCAAAGAAGAGAGTGCATCTGAAGAGTATCCCACTCCCTACTGTTGAAATGTGAGACCTTAGCAACAAACATGTGACACCATCCACAGCGCAGCGGCACAAAAGTGTGCTCGCAACAACTGCACAATGCAAGAGCAGGGTTCACATCCAATAGACATGGCCGTCCATTCAACGGGCGTTCTGACCGCAAAAGGCTCAAACCACATCAGCTCTGTGGCTGTGACCTAAAGAGGAACAACCATTGACACATCAGAAACGTGTAACCCTCTCACACGACAAGACCGGGCCATTGTCCGCATGAATGCCTATTGTCAGGCCAAACACTGCCCCAGTTCTGATCTGCCTCTCATAAGTTTAAATATGATCTAATTCAGCCAGAAGATCAAAACATCACGATGCCTACAACCTACTGGAAATTTAATCAATTTTACGCCGTCATGTTTTGGTTTTTCCCTGTGTGCAGCATCATTTTCCATGAAAAAGCTCGACCCACACACTTTTTGAGCGGCAACAACTTCTGCTGAACAAAGGATAAACATGATAAAAGCCACCATCACACGACCTTTTCAGATCACATCAGTTTCATTTCTTCCTTGAAATGGTATGCATGTCACAGTCCTCACTAATAAAATAACGAAGTGCTTCCTGACAGATGCTTGGCGCAGAGGAATTGGAAACAAATTCTATCAACAGTTTTACATAGAGCCAGTGATGCTGTGTAATTACAATTGACAGGTCACAGTTGTAATCTCTCTGTTTGTGATCCATTGTGACATGTTTCACATTCATCTTTGTGCTGTGATTGTGATTAGTGTTCATTAAACTGACGCAAACACTTCGGTCAATGATTTTCCTGTCTGCGCGAAGGGAAAAAATTAAAACATACTATTGCATGGATGTTTAGAATCGATAGGAAAAACTAGTTGCAGGTGTAATCTTATATCTTCATTTTGATATTGAATTGTCCAGGTTGTTTCAGAAGCGTTTGGGCGATTGGCGACAAGCGAAACGCCATGGAGTGATCTTTGCCATGACTTGTCATGGATCACTGCCGAGTCGAGGTACCACACACAGTCAATTTCTTGGGACACTGGCAGATTATCATGGAAACTCACTGCAGGTCATCCTCTGGAAATAAAGTGTCAACTACATGTACCTACAGATCTACCCATTCAACTTACGGCCAACATGAAATTGGGAGGGGGAATCACTGGATCTTACATGACTTTACCCCCAAGAAAACTGCAACTGTTGCTGTATTACTATCCATCAATAGCCGAAATTCCCTGTTGGAGGTTATGACTGGCATTCCCTGGGAGACCTCATGGATCCCAGGCAGTCACGCTGCCAAGGCCAAACTAAAAATAAGATGTGGAAATTTTCCAACAATTTCTTGGCTCACCCTAAACAGATTAAGTTGGTTTCGAAAATGATTAGCACAAAGTATTCATCTAATTTGAGCCTAAAATCTTTTCGTAATCTGTCAAATGTAAAAATCACAAAGCTGTTCCAGGGAATGAACCAAGAACTTTTAAAACAACGGGGAAAAAACCTTGGCTCCACACAATACATTCTTCTAAATTTGATTTCCCATTTCCTCGCTGTAACAGCCAAGGGATTGAGTTAGATTCGATGCAAGGGAGAGGTTGCATCTGCCCAACCCCTCTGCTAAACCTTTCAATCGCTACATGACCAGTCAGTGTCCTCCTCAATCAAATTACAATGCAGGAGGAAGAGGAGACATAATCATCTGAGTCAGCTCATTCAAGTCATCTCCAGAACACGGAAATTATAATCCTGGAGACGGCCACCCTTGCTGGCTGAACAAGGTTCCACCTTGACCCACAAGAGACGCAGGGAACCAGTGGTTACCAGTGGCAACTAGTAACAACTACATGTAGCTGTGCACCGGTTTCCCCAAGCATGAAATGGATACAGTGAAACAAAGGAGTGCCAGGGAAGCAGTGGGAAAAGTACGATGACCTTGAGAACCAGAAACATCTGCTGTGCTAAAAAAGGAACCTGTCAGGTGGTAGATAAAGGCAAGACTGTGAATATCATGCTTATTCCATGAATACCAAATCAAAACCCTTCAAAAGTACCCACATAAAAACAACGAATTCATTTGAGACAGTATGAATTCAAAAACAATTATTGTAGTGTTTCCTGGATGAACGGTGAAGAATTGTTTGGTACACGTGCCGGTACCCCCGGTATGTGTAAGGTTAAAACTAGTGCTGCAAGTTGGTGCCCAGGTTCCGTTCAGGATCGGTTTGGAAAACTTTTGCTGAACTACATGTATGGTTCGGTTCGGGTTCGGACATGTACACACATGTACGTACACGCACACTACACATTAAGACATTGAAGAGCTCACCACCAACGTGCCGTACTGTACTTCTGCATGTAAAACGCCTTCATTTTACCAACAATGAATCTCCTTCATCCCCATCTACCAGCAACTTCAATTTTAACACTTGTTTTTCTAAGCCGTTTCCTCAAAGTTTGTTCAGGATTTAAAATTCCATAAAAAGTTACTGTCAGAGGTGTGACATTTTCAGAACAAGTTTTACCAACCAAAAGTGGTTGTGTTTGGACCACGCTTGACTCAACAAAATGATCATAGGATATGTGAAAACAGAAAAACAGCAAGTTCAAATGGGAGTTTCCTCCTCTATAGGATACAAGATCAAATTAGCTTTCATGCGAATTGTGTTTTGGTTATTTTTCATGAAACAAATTCAACTGCAAAACTATGTATGTGAAGAAGAACCTTGATATCAAGTCAGCACTCTTTTCCAGGATGGTGCCCACGTGGCCCAAGGAGCAATTTTCCATCTGTCTTTTTTTTTTTTTTGAATGGATAACAGTATTTTGTTATTTGAGATTTGTGAACAATTTAAGATCTGGCAAAATTCCATTTCAACATATTAACACTATAACTTCTATCAAACATGATTAAATGAAAGACAAGTTAGGTCACCACGTGAACCAATCTTGTTGCGCACTGCAGTGCTGGCAAAATCAGTATTCCCTCCGGAGTTGCCTTCAATTGAGCGTAAGTCCAACTATGATCAGCATCCAATCAAAATTCCTTTTGCAATGCCATTTATGACATCATTGGCCCAATATGTAATGTACAGGTGTGGTTTTCAGAGATTGACAAACATAGTGCTAATATCTTAATATACCAGTACATAAGCACAACTGGATGTAGTGAGAATTTCGTGTTGTACTGTATATAGCAGAAATGCCGTACTTTGCATGTTGTCCGGTGATGATTAGTGAATTCTCACCACGTGCTTTTTACAACCATCACATGATGCGGGGCCATGGTGTGTTTACTGTACATGTATATTTACAAAACATGTGTACACGCACATGTGTACACGCACATGTGCACACGCACATGTGCACACGCACATGTGCACACGCACATGTGCACACGCACATGTGTACACGCACATGTGTACACGCACATGTGTACACGCACATGTGTACACGCACATGTGTACAAACACATGTGTACACACACATGTGCCAAGCACCAGCGCGGCTCATTACCCATTTTTCGTTGTGCTTGCTTTTGTTTCAAGTTTTCTTGCATGCATTCCACGTGCTATCAATGCCATGTCATGTGAAAGCTGAACATCCACACCAACCAGGTTGGTTCGGTTCGAAAGTGCCACGTTCAATGATTTCTGATTCAGTACAGCGGTTCAGCTGCAGCACTAGTTATTTTCATGGGGTATGCAGACTGATTCCCAGTGTGACTTGTACTATTGAGTTAATGTATAATTAAGCAAAAAATGCCTATATCGATCATTTCCATACTATGCCATTTAAACGTGCAGGCCCAAGAGGTGAAAGACACATCCACCTTCAAAGCAAACAAGTTTTTAATCCCACCCCATAATCTTTCACTGAACATATCTTGTTTATTATGAATGAAAAGACCAACAAGCATACAAAGCAGCCCCCCCATGCAAAGTTACTCTTCAGTGAATACTCATTTGATTTGTAAGGTCAAACCTGACAATGCACCAAATAATCTGACCCTGAGGGGGGGGGGAACCAGAGACCATGAGCATTGCCAAGAGCACAAGGGTCAGTGGGGTAAACAGTTCCCAGCTGTAACTATGCAATGTAGTCAAGGGCGACTTTCCCACTCTTGTACAGCTTACATGAGCTTCACACTTGGCTGAGCGTGAATCATTATCACTTGAAGTATGTTTATACTTGTACTGTCTGAATCTCATTTATCTTTTCCTTATCACTGTACTTGTTTCCTCCTCACACCCATGCAACCTAGGATCAAGGGCAAAGTCGACAAGTAATACATCACACATGAAACTTGCGAGAAAAAACACCGTATTTGGTGGGAATACAGAACTAACAGATTTTTCCAGACTTTCGGACATGTTTTATTTTCTGACTTGGTGTAGATGGTACCTAAATCATGACAGGTTGGAGTTCTGAAAGGAGAGCATTGAGAGACGCACTGCAGTAATTACAAATACACAGAGATTGATCACAAAACACTGGTTTTCAGTTCAAGCTAAACACGAATCAAAAGCTGAACATGTCCATTTTAAGAGCGTCTGAGCTTCACATGAACATTCATATCCAAGTCCCTTTCAATGGCACATACATCTACATGTATTTGCTACCATCTTGAACTTTAGTAGATTTGGGATAATTCTTGATTAAAAACGGGGGAGGGAGATGAGTTACAATAATTGACGAATCAAATCCTACACATGGTAAGAAACCCTGTCACACATTGTCATCCACCATTCTTTGATGTATTAGAATTTATAAAGTATTCAGTACCCAGACTGACCCTAAAACTTTCACCTTTTCCACTCGTGTAATCTCTCAAGGATTAGAGCTTCATATGAAAAAAAATTCAGACATCAAGTCACATGCTACATAACAGAGTGTTTGACACACTACTTGTAACAGATGTAGGATTTTATTTCACTTTTAATATTTTAGTTCTCTTTTTTTTTAAGTTAGGCATAGAACAAACGAGGGACATCAGGTGTGCAGAAATCATTCCCCATGCATTAATCCGAAGAAATCAGTCTCATATCTTATCACTCCATCCATCATGTTTCCAATCCATGGATGGCAGGTTATATCGCAGCACTGCTTCAAAGATATGGACCTTTCCAGTGGGAATTTAACACTTTCTTTTTTTTTTAATCATCTCCTTTGACAGGCCTAGGTCCAACATCACTTGTGCATAACGCCATACAGAACTTGTTTTGACTGGTTCAGAAGTTCCTAACCTAGCCAGGTGACATGCTTTCACGCTTACAAGTATAAAACATGTTGGAATAGTACAGGCCCACTTATTAGAAGAGACTGTCCATGCCAACTTGGTTGTGTTCCTTTGTGTTACTTGAAATTCTTAACATGGTCAATTCAGTCAGGTACTGGTGCAATATCTAAGACAGACATCAACCAGTTGAACACGAGTGTGATGTTTTTCCAGCTGCTCCAACAAAATCTACAAGCGTGTTTCCCTGTCATTTCCATGTACATGTATCTGTTGAGTGGTGCTAACTGAATGCAGCAATGGCCAAGTTATTACAGCTATCTTAATTTAATTTTATGGTTGGCAAAGTTGTCAAACTATTCCCAACGGTTCCAGAACTATTTCCTGTTATTTCTGTATGCATGAAATATGCCCAATTCTGAAAAATCAAGGTTTCTATTGCCTCTGGCAATCTGAAAACTTGTTGAAAATGTCATCCAACTTGTTATTATGTTGCAGTAGGCCAGTAAAACATTTCAAATGGACTCATTTCCAGATATTAAGTTTGCTTTTCAATCTCAATTTAAATTTAAACTGCTGAACTGTAGCCATCCATTTCAAGCTGAGCCCCATGTAAGAGATATCAGATCAGGAACCTTATAGATGAGTATACAACAACTTCCCTGCGAGCCAAGAGTTTTGCCTTGTTTGAAACAACTGGCTACGGCTAGGAGTGAAGCACCTGTCTACGGAAAGTGGCTGATGCTACTAGGCAGTGGATTTCAAAGGTGAGTGTGTTACCTAGCCACAGTCATAACATTCTGAGTTGGGCTTAGTGTTGTGTTAATAGTCGGTCCCAACATCACAGGATGGTACAATCAGTGATTCTTAGAAAATGACTATCTCTCCAGATTCTTCCTAAAAGACTGTGCAACCAGCATGTGCAGTCAAACAAGAATGTGACATTAAAAGGGAAAAAAAATGAAATAAGGCCTCTCTCCCCCAAAGATGGGTGATTTTCATATTGGTGCACTCAATTTCTTACTACGAATCTAAATCACTCCACCAAACAAAACTAAACCTCAAATCAAACACTTTCCACCTGATCACATTTTAAACCCAAAACTCATAAATCAAGTGAGAGTAGAACTTGGAAGGTTCGAAAAGATGACTGACCTCATTCGTAGGGTCACCATAGGGAATCTTCAACGTATCCATGGCTCTGATCATTGCATTTGCTGCCATGAAGATGTTCTGGTATACCAGTTTGGTGAATGTTTTCCGGTCTTCTTCCGAGTACCCCGATCCGTGGATGATCCTCATCTGTTTGATGAATGTGCTTTTTCCACTCTCCCCAGTTCCTGTAAAAACCAGACAGAAAGATAAAAAAGGGTCAGTTTTGCGGAGGAAAGACGGCTTCTGAATGTCAGATTTTGAAAACACTATGTAGGAAAAAGAAAAGGGAGGCTGTGATTTCAAACAATAGCTATCTGAACTTGTTCGCTGTCCCAGCCTGGAAAGAATACTGAAGTAACCTTCAGGTTCGGTGAAATCATCTTCATGATAATCTCATCTCTGGAGGATGGTACCAAGGCTGCTGTTTAATATGCTCTCCTTCTCAAACAGAAAGCCAGAGGGGTTCGAAATACCACAACTTCCCCCTTTCATGCAACTGTACCCGGCGGAGAGCACACCGGAATACACATGTATGCGTGAAAGCTATGAAATTAACTATGGGCAGATAAAATTAACAAAGGGCAGCGACATGCCAAAACTGGTCACATGTCCAAACTGGTCACATTTTGCTGCAAAAGCGCAACCATAAAACAAACTTGAGCACAAACTCCCGTACTTGATGCAGCAAGTGTCGTTTACTTGCCGTACATGTACATAAACAGCGCCCTCAAGTATTGCTGTATGTTCCAGAGCATGGCTAACAAATCAGGTGAGTTCATTCCAAAGCTGCATGACTGAACCCACTTCACATCCTACGAGCCTATCATTACAATGTTTAAGTCCTGCTGGACAAACATTCATCTTTCTGTCTCATCTTAGTTTGTTGAAAGAACTTGAAACATGTTACCATAGCTGGCCCAAAGGGTCTGTGTGTGACACAGGCAATTTTCATTCAACAAAAGCAGACACGTACCGGTATACATGCACATATGCTCTACTGGAATAAAAAAGTTTTCAGCCCAAAACTGTGCATACAATATGCTTCAGCTGTGACTGATTTTACGACTCTTATGACAAACTAAAAATGTGCTACTGACCAATGAAAAATCATCCCTGAGCCCCAACCAAATCCATGAAATCATTGGTTTGGGTTTGGAGACTGAGGCCTAATTTCAAAATAAAAAAAACCTGCCAGCACGACACAGGAACGCAAGCAGATCAAAGTGATATATCCAACATGAACAGCACATCCTCATTTACATCCGCTCCAACAAACTGGATTTACACAAATTGTATTTCAGTTTGTTTGTTGTCCCCATGGCAACCTATTGCCAACGATTAAAAAAAACCAATCAACACTTTGCCTCCTACAGCGATTCTCATTGACCTTACCACACACATGGTTTATGACGACCTGGAAAAACCTTTATTTCGGTGATTGCTACACACGTCATCAAAACTCTTAACAAATGCACAACAAAATGGATGCTCCCACCGCAGTCCAATGTTCTGTTACGCTCCATTAACAGTCTATAGTATTACCATATATGGGCATAGTGACCTTTCCCTACTGATGCAGCAATTTTTGTCCAAATTCAACTTAAAATATCTAAAGTTGGCAATAATGAACTTTAAATCCCATCGTTACAAATGTGTTTTAGAAGTTCTGGTATTTGTCTGTAGTCAGCTTTTTTGCATAGCCAATCAAATTTTTGCAGTTGGAAATTTTCTGTTCCATATGCTGCAACGTTTAAGAAAAGCATCCCATATCATGGAAACACCCATACAATTTGTTGTAGGCTGCAACACGTAGAACAAGCCTTGAGACTGGTCAGATTGTGTGAGATTTGTGATGTAATAGCCCCTCAAAATATGGTAATACTCCAGACTGATTAATACATGCATTTCCAATTTTAAAGTGCCTTCAGTATCTTTTTTTTTGAGCCCTGACTGATTAAAAAAAAAAATCCAACTTGCTGTGGATGTGAACCAGACAGCTGACATTCCATTCAAAGGGTTTGGGAATACATGTATGTTAGAATTATCCTTGAAGGATTCACGGCAGTAATTCTGAAAACTGCCTACACTGAACAGTTACCAATGCCAATCTCCATGGTATGTATTATACGCGGATCTCCCATAATCACTCCAGCTCAGGCAATTCCTTTTATTACACGTACTCCTGCTCCAATGCTTCCTGGATAATCTGATTGCAAGCATGTGCTTCATCATCATTCCAATGCTTGTAACGATGATCCTGCATCCCTAGCAAAGTCCTCTCCCTATGGTAACGTACTGTATGCACAGACAGGACTCCACAAAGTTCAGCCAAGTCAAGGTCAAACCCGCATATGTGCATACTTAAGCAGGGTGGGCCCCAACATTCCCTGCTCAAGCCTGTGCAGTCCATGCACAACTCTGTATTTCGTGAACACCACAAACACATGACGGGGCAGGATCTACGACAGAAAACCAAGCAGCTTTGTGGAGATGTGCTGTGCACTTGTGGTGTGTTGCAGTAAGGAGGCCAACCCCAGAACCATCTTCATCAAACATTTTGCAATTCTGAGAAAAACCTTTCAACATGATGTGTTGGCAGTCTCCTCTGTTTTGAGAGTGTGCGCTGGTTCCTGCTGCGCCGCACCCATGCAAAAGAATGTGTTATGAAATTGTAGCAACCGCTATTAGTCTGTACTGGATGTACTGTGCATAAGCACTCTTCATCGGGGGTGCACGCTGCGGATGCAAAAGGCTGCAGGCCGGAAAGACATCGATGTTATGTTGCAAGAGCTTTTCTGCGAGCTAATTCACAGAACTTGGTCTCTTATTTATGTCTGTATCTTCTGTGTTCGCGAGTGTAATTTGAGGTTGTTCTGCTCATGGCACAAGGTTTAGCGCCCGCTGGTCTGAATGCATCATGCACGCTTATCACGTGATACACGGACAGTGTTGGCCAATTTGCCATCATGGTTGCTGTCTTGACTGTGTGAATTGTTCATAATTTTCTCGTGAATTGCCATATGTAGAAATTTTTACATAGATTAAAGACAGGTGTTCATCACTCTTTGAGATACTTTTGGAGGCTATGCCCCCCCCCCGATGCCATTCAATCAGCACAAAATTGCCCCCAAACAAAAAAAACCTTCCAACCTACCAACATGACCGACCCAATTTTTGAGAGGAATGCACAGCACAACTACGCCATGTATTTTTTTACACCTAATAAAAGACTGCATATATGCAGTAGGCCTCAGTTAAATAACAATAATTGTGGATTCTGAGAAATCTTTGGCTAGTGTTGATCCAATTCAAGCAAGTAGATTTATGACATGGCCTGCCCAATTGCGCAAACTAAACAAAATCAAGAAACGTTGTGGCCTGCACCCGAACAAGGATTGCTCAATGCGGCTGCGTGTGCAGTTCTGGTAGGACCAGGAAAAAAAGTGAATTGTGACCCCTGACACTGCACCTTACAACTCTGTCTTTTACATAATATAGCAGATCAAAAGCAGGTAATAGCAGAACTAAAGTGGTTGCGTGATGACATTTTGTCTGAGCACTTTTTGGGTCTAATTTTGCACTCTGGAGGTGGAATTGGCCAATGACGTACCCGATTTGCTCACGAATATGTATGAAGTGTAGTAAATGAAACTATTAATTGCTCAACAAAATTGTAGGTTTCTTGAAGCATATTAAACTAAAATGGAAATTCTTTATTCCCTGAAAAGATTTCTTGAAAGCTACTTTCAACAATGAGTTTGATATCCCAACAATGCATGCTCAATATAAAGTGCGTTGAAGAACATCCAAGAACAGTAATACATGTAAGTGCACCATGTTGGCCCTATCCAGGAAGCCGTATACATGTACCACCTTACACATTCATGTACATGTTCTCGACATGGTCAAGCTGGTTTGTTTTTTTCCTCAACATGATCTAGCCTTTTTGAGAAACTGAAATGGCTCGTTGTTCCCACTCTCTGTCTCCTTACCTATTCTGCCTGCTTTGTTCATTCACCTAGAAATCTCAGGACACCACCAACAAAATGACATTCATCTAACAGACGGAAGTTTCTAGCTTAGTGGTTCTGACCTCCAAGTCGTGTACGTGCGACAGGAAAAGAATTAGTGGGTGGAAATCGAAGTCGTGCCAGGTTTACACCTACTGGTACCGGCAAAGTATCCTCCTACATATTACATTTCCTGTTCATCGGGAATTACATGTATCTCTTCAAAATTACTTCCTTGATCATAAAAAGTTCCGTGTTCAGGTACATGTACACGTTGAAGGTGCTAACCCAATTGAGAGTTTGAGACATTTTATTCACAAGTAGCCTACATGTACATACATGTATTTTGCCGCAAGTACTCTCTATATACCGTATGTATATAATCATTCTGGTTAAAATGCTTAACAAGAGGGAACGTTGAAGGTGATTTTTTTTCATCAAAATCAAAATTCTGATGTTTCATTGTTTAGGAACCTTGTGCTGCAATCCAGAGTGTGGGGCAGTACAATAGACAACCAATACATGCATGGGCTTCACAAAATGAAAGTAAACAAGTACATGTACAGGGCTGTGAGTGGCAACGTTAACTTAAAGCTGAAACTAGCCAGCACACAGCTGAAACGTAATAAGTTCCCATACTTTTGTAACAGTCCAGGTGTACAAAAAAGCTGAAATTCGGGGTCAACATCTATGAATAAAAAAGCTGAAATCAGCTAAAAAGCTGAATTCTCACACCCCTGCAAGTAATTAACAATAAACACATGACTCAGCCCTAAAGTATACATGTATAGTTTAGACTTACGATGTATATTAATAAATTTGCATTCATCAGCATTACATATAAAAGTGTAATTCTCCAAGACAATTCAATGCAAATAGTTACAGTGTACATGTACACAGTTATAGTATATGTCCATGTATTTATTAAAATTAAGGACCCACACAATAAAGAAACTAAATAAATGCATGTATCGTATCTACAATACTACATGTACGTTGGTTTCAACATTTTTAGAAGGCTGCTGGAAGAAATATTAGTCACCAACATGGAATCAGGAGACATACGTGTAGAACACATGCACTGTTCTGAAATACACAGTAGAAGAAGCCACTTTTCCACAATAAAAGGAATTAATGTTGCAGTATAGTCTGCTTAAGTGAAGGGAGAATTTCCC